GGAGGGATGGGGAGTGGGGGACACAGCTGGATGGGGCACATCTGGGGGCAGGTGGGTGAGGGACAGATGGACGGACAGATGGTGGGTGGACGGAAGGGTGCACTCCAGGGTGGGTGGGTGCGTCCCTGCACCATTAGCGGTGTGGACGGGCAGACAGACGGACAGCGGGACGGACAGACAGAGGGATGGAGACAGGGGTGGGGGGTGAGATGAGAGACCCGCGGGGGCCCTGGTCCCCCACAGGTGCCCTGACAGGGTCACCCACAGCGGGGGCTGCCCTGGGTCCCCTCCCTGGGCCGAGGCTCACGCTGCGGCCGATCCCCGCGCGGGGCCGGACCCTCAGAGACCCCGGGAGCCCGGGCAGGGGCTGTCGCGGTGCCGGTGGTGCCACCCAGGGCGGTGGCAGCGGCCCAGCCCTGATCCCCGGCCCCTGGGCTAATCCGCTTTGCCCGCACTGGGACCAGATGGCCCCGCTAAGTGGGTCAGGCAGGAGCAGGGGACACTGGGGAGCCCCATCTCGCTTCCCGATAGCTAAAGAAAAATAATAATAAGTGAAATGAGGTGGAAGAGCCTGGAAATGGCGGAACCGGGGAGACGTGGCTGCTAGTGCCCCGGCTGCTGGAGGGGCAGGGCTTGGTGCCACCGCAGAGCATCCTGCGCCGGCGGGATGGCAGCGTCAGGGAAAAAAAGCCCCCCCAGGAGGGACACAGCCAGGGTCATCCTCCTCCTGCCCTCACCGGGTTATTTTCACCTCTTGGTCCCTGCGCCAGCCCCTGGATGGGGTTTGGGGGCCCTGCTGAGGCCCCACGGCTGCAGGGCACTGGGGGGGCAGGAGCGGAGGTGCCCTCAGCCAGGAGTGGAGTGGGGGATGCTGGAGCCCCTCGTGGGGGGTGGGAAGGGGTAGGGGTGGCAGTGGCACCCCCCAGCCCAGAAAAGGCCACCAGCTGTCCCGAGAGCACCTGCCGCTGCTGTTGCCGCTGTCCCCAGCGCTCCTGGCAGCCCTGCTGTGCACAGCACCTCGCTGACCCCACGGTCCCCAGGGGTCACACCCGTCCCATTGTCCGTGTTGACCCTCCCTGCCCCAAACAGCCTTCCCAAACCAGCCGCAACCCCCCTGCCCCCCATCTGCAGAGAAAGGGGAGCACCCACCTCCCCGCGGGATTTTAGTGGCACTGGGGGAGGCAGATCCTGGGGGTCAGCCCTGGAGAGAGGGGTCTTGGGGGAGCCCTGCGCGCTGAGCACGGCCTCACCCCCACGCGAGCAGCATCTCTCCTCCCATCCCCTCCATCATACCCAAAAGGGCCAGGATCTGGCCAGCACCGCTGCAAAGGGGGAAAAACACGGTGGGGCTGGACCCCCCCAGTACCCCCCAGCCACAACAGGGGTGGGGGGAGGGTGGGAAGCGCATCCACACGGTGTGGGCTTCCCGCTCCGCCGCCATCCACCGCTGCCCAGCCCCTCCCAGCCTGGCGCTGCCGTGCTGCGGCTAAAAATAAATCCAGCAATTTCTAGGAAAGTTCCTTGGAGAGAGACAAGGGAGCGGGAGCGAGGGGGGGCTGGCGGGAGCAAACAGCCAGTGCAGCCGGGCTGGAGGAGCATGCGAGGTCCTGGGGGAATCATCGTGCTTTATCAGCAGAACAGGGGGGGGTCACCAACACCCCCCTGCATGGCCAGAGGCAGCTCTGGACACTCACAGTATCCCCAAATCCTGGGTGAATATTTTTTTCCCCCATCCACTACTGCCCAGATCATACGGATGGAGAAAAAAAGGGAGTCAAGGCTGGGGCAGTGCAGGGACAATCTCCCCGTTACTTACCCCCAGGGTGGGGAAGGATGGCTGGGGGCTAAGGGGGGCATCACCACCGATCCTGAGGATACGGCACCTCCGTGAGGGGGGTGGGAACGGGAATCAGCCAAGGGAGAAAATTTTTAGCAGGCGATGAAAGCTAGAATAGTGCCACGGGGTATTTCTGCTCCAAAACCCGCTGTGAGAGACATCAGTCCCCTCTTCTCTGCTGCTCAGCCCCCAGGCGATAACTGGGGACAGCTTTGCTGAGCTGCTAAGCTCCCGTTTAAGCAGCTAAGCATGAGTGGCCGGATTTCCAGCCAGCGCATCCCTCCGGCTGCTCACCTGGCCAGAAATCCCCGGGCGGGGGGAAGCGCTGCTGCCCATCCCCGTGGAGGCAGGGCTCGCTCCGGCTCTGCCTTGCTGCTCGCCCACGAAGGCGTTAAACTCCACCATCAGCAGAGATTAATTTTGCCCTCAGCCCCGCGCCACAGCTGCGAACGTGAGGGTGTTGTGCATGAGGCGCTGTGTTTTCCCTCGCTGTGATAACGTGGTGCAGGAGGAGCCCGGTTGCATTCAGATCCCAAAGGGAATTTCTGCAAAGGCGAGGAGTAAGAGCTGGATCTCCCAACCAGGACGCCTTCACTGTGCAGATGAACACGAGAGCTCCCACGGCTGTTACTTACAGCCTCGCTGCTGCAATCGAGCTGCGCATCAGCGGATCTTGCCAAAAGGAGGAACCCCCCACACCCTGGCTGAGCGAGGGCCAGACCAGAGCCCTGGAGTTGAGCAAAGCCAGTTCACTCGTCCCCAGTCCCAAGGTAAATCTGTTGCCTTGGGGCATCAGCAGAGCCCAGTCCCCAAGCTGGGGAGAAATGGGGGTGTTTGCGGTAAGGGGCAGCTCTGAGGGGCCACGTCGGGCACCTGTGGGGAGGGGAGCTGCCCCTGGCACACCCAGCTCCCCCCACAGCCAGGCCCCGTGCGGGGCAGAGGGACCCAGTGGCTCTCACTGGAGCGTGCGGAGGCTGAGGAAGGTGCTGAGCGACCCCGTCCCACCAGCAGCGAGGAGAAAGGGACCCGCCGGAGGCAGGCGAAGATCCCTGAGCGCACCCTGGCACCATTCCCACATCCCCTCCGAGGGGCTCTGAGATCTCCCACCGCTCACCTTCCCCAGGCGTCAAGCCTCCAAAGGGTTCCGGATACCCCCAGCCTGACCACGGGCTGTGGGAAAGGGGTCGGACACCAGTAGAGCCCAAACACAGCTCAGGGCCAGAAACTGCTGAATGAGACTAGGCCGTGCCTTAAAACTCACCCCGGGTTTATCACAGGGTGCCCTCCCTGCTCAGACGAGCCCATCTCAACATCAGGCCGCTGGTGACAACCCTCCAAATTTTCTTCTCCAAGCTGTGAACATACCAAGCTACTCCAGGGAGCACTTTCTCCTCCGGTGACATTTTATGGCCCAATCTTCAAGTCCAGGGGTAAGAGCACTGGGAAGAAGAGAGACCACGCAGCAAGCAGAGCCGTGTGTGAAATACTGGCGTGTTTATTGGTTGGCACTAGATTACAGCCTACACTCTTGTCAAACTTGCATCCACGAATTTTTTTTTTTTTTTTTTCTCTTTTAAAGACAGTGATGACCTCCCCCTCACACACAACTCAAACAGAGGAAACACCTTGAGAAAGGAACCAGACTGCCAGCTGCCGTACACCAGCGCAGCTTCACGCCATCTCACAACATCTGGCTCAAAACACACCAAGACTCATTTGCAGAAGAGGGACGGGGGTTTGTAATGACACCAGAGCTGAGCGTGGAGCAGACAGAGCGCCCTCCGGTCTTTCTGGAAACACTATGGATGAAAAGGTCAAAATTATGCAGGTATACAATATACCTGCCAGCCAAGACTAAGCAGGAGCAAGAGAGCACCTGCATTATTCATAGGTTCAAACTAAGATCTGAGCCTCAAAGAAAACAAAATGTGTTTTCTACTGAATGCATTTGACTTTGAACAAATGTGTCGTAAGTAAGAACAAGTCCAAGTCAGTAAGAAAAAGCATCAGCTGAAACGCTAGATTTCCAAAGTGCCCTTGCAGTTGTAAAGTGTTTTTGCAAACCATTTCAATTTAATTTATCATTAAAAAAAACAAGTTAACTTTACCAGAAGATTAGAAACACGAAGCACTGTAGTGGGGAACAGAAGTCTGCAGCCAGAAAAATAAACCAAAAGAGATTATGGGAATTACAAGTCCAAAGCCATCTAGAATGCAGAGAAATGGGTATTTAACTTACTTACGATTCATTGAAAATCACTGACAATCTCAGGCTTCTTTTGCTTCTAATAAATTAGCAAGTCTGTTCTCTACATCACTCTTCCTCCTCCAAACTCACTGACGTTTCCATGTGAAAGCTGGGCAGCAGCAGCAGCAGCACAAGAGCCTCCGCTGAGACGTCCCGAGCGACACCTCCACATCCCCGGGGAGATCACTCACCGCGCTCCGCTGCTGCCATCGACCCCCCCACCCCAGGCTTGGACACTTGAATGATTCAGGAAAGTAATCACAAGGTTTAAAAAAAAAAAAAAAACATTTTCCACAGAGACTGCTCACGTTGACGCTGCCAAGCAGGAGAGGTCGGAGCAGGTCAGTACCTGGATCAGTAACAAAGTCTTATCCTTGGTCGCGAAGGTGAGTTCGAACGTACCAGCTCAAACACGAACAGAAGAGACGGTCAAAGCCTCACAGCTTTGATCTTGGAGGTATCTCGGTTCGATAAGGACTGGAAAAGCCTCAGGCAGATATGCTCATACCCACAGACATCTACCTCGTGCCGGGCGCAGGGGGATGCACCCCCGTTATTTATCCCACTGCCAGGCACACGTGCTGGTGGGGTCTGGGATCCAGTTCTCCCAGCTCAGGGGGTGCTGCCAGGGAGTCTCGGGTACAGAGAGTTCATGAAAAGACTGAGCAGAAAATGCAAAGTGATCATTCCAGATCTTCTGATTTAATAAATAGGCAATAGGACACACAGGAAGTTCAGCAAACACTTTTGGACCTCCCAAGGTTAATGTCTGAGGCAATTCTAGAGCCAATTTCTCAAGTATAACTTCAAAATTCTCCCTTTCCCACCAAAAAAAAAAAAAAAAAAAAAAAAAAAAAACCCAAACCCCTATCAACTAGCACCAAAAGAGAGATTTCATAAATCTCCTAAATACATCTTCAAACCAGTTAAGTGTTCTTTTTCACCCATTTACACCTCTCTCAATTATGTACAGATCTCATGACGCTATACCCAGTAAAACACGACACGTATCTACACGCCACCTTCCACCACTGAAGCCGAGAGTCCTCCCTGACTGTATTAAATTCATTCTACCACCGAGAAAAGTGAGGATCACATTCAGATATACGCATGTTATAGTCTCCAAGACCGAGACAAGATGTGAGCATACACCAGAAGCAAGGTCACCCACATCCCCAGGCTGTGATTAGCCACTAGATGATGCTATCTTATTAACCAGGAAGAGCAGAGCCAGGAGGGAAAACCTAGTCATTTAAAAGCAGGACCAGAGCAGTGGGTGAATTACACAAAGTTGCCGAGTGCCTTTAGAAGATAAAAGCTCTTCACACCAACAAGCATCTGCAACAACTTTGTTTCTTGGTGCGAGTTTGGCTAAAGAGACCGACTGATTTCAATCCTCTCCCCAGAATCGGCACCGGCCGTAGTTTCCTCTCTGGGAAAATTAAATATGCAATCTTTCACAAACTCCCAGATCACCCACGTTTGCTTTTACTGGGTGTTTTGCACAGGTTGCAAAATTGCATTGCATCTGGCTGCCTGAGAAGCACAAAACATCTCAATTTGGGATAAAACCACATTTCTGAGAATGAGCAAGAAAATACAAAGCTGTTACAACTGGGAGAGGCAAACATTCGATCTATGCAGCCTCAAATATTTTGCTCTTCTGGAGAAACCAGTGTGTTGCAAAACGGCGAACACATTTTCTGCATGGAAAAGTTGAGGCAGAGGCCCAAAGTCCGGGCTAGATCTGGGAAGGGAACTGAGGATTCCTGACATTCCCTACCCACATTTTTAGCCACTGAATACTCTTGTGTCTGCACAAGGGAAAACGCAACACTAGCAGATTCCAAACCCTTTTAATTTTTCAGTTTGTAGAGTTTGCTTTAAGGCACATTCAAGATCACGCCGAATTAAAACTGCCTTCTTGCTCAATAGGAATCTGGGAAGTGCACACAATGTCTATCTGCTGAGTGAAAAAGCTGCTGTCAGTGCTTACATCGCAGCTCCTTCCCAGCCCCCAGCCAGAGCTCTGACCTTCCTCCACAGCAGTGAGACCGAAGGCCATCACCAGAGATGCCACAGGTTGTTTGGGTGCAGTCCTCCACAGCCACCCATGGGTGCAGCCCCCCCCGGACAGCTCTGCTCCTTCCCCACCAGCACCACTCAAGCGTTTTTTTATGTCACAGCGCAGCCGTTCAAAAACGCACCTGCCTCGCTCAGCTGGAACCAAATAAACCAAAGAAGGAACCATGTCCCCAGAATGGAAGAAAAAAAGGAAACAAATCCCAAAGGATCTATTTCAAAAAGACGCAGAGAGACAGCACCTGTCTGTGGCACCTTCCTCACGGCAAAGCAAGGCAAGAGATGTTATCTGAGGAGAGCCAGGGCTGGGCTTGCTTTACCTGTACATCTAATAGTTTCTCATAGTGTAACGTACACAGAGCTCAGTTAAATCACACCAGGTTTACTATCAAGAACCAATGGCTGCTCCCAGTATTTCCTCGCACCTCACTGTACTGAACATGAGCAAGGGATGGGGGAAGAAACAGCAAGACTTCAACAGCCAGATATACTCTCTCCATGTGTTCCACGTGGCAGCTAAAAAACACCTCATTATGAGGTGCCTCTCCGCTAAAGCCCAAATTTTTACCCCCTTCTAGTCCATTTTAATTATAGTTACTGACTAACAGTTTTATCAGTAATACCAGTCTATGACTTCAGCTCTGTTTAACAGCATTAAACACTAACAAATGAGCTGGCCGACCATGAGCAACTTCTGAATTATCTGTTTGCTACAGGTGATGCAACTGCCCTACACTTACTGAACAGCCTCATTCCTCATACACCCTTTTTGCAAGATTCCTCTCAAGATATTTCAGCTGTAAACCCACCCAGAGGCTACTTGCCTTATTCTGAGAGTTCAAAATCATGAGCAAGTAATATTTACCCTATCCAGTGCTCATGGCCCAGCAGCCAGTGAGCCAGACTGCCATTACATCCCACACCCTATCGGCTGTCACTGCCTCAGTCCTGAAGAGTTTTTACAGTTCAAAGTCTAACGCATTTTCAATTTGAAAAAACAGCTATTTTTAGTGTGCAAAGCAGCCATTAACTCAAAGGAATGTCTTGCCAAACGATGTACCTGGAGAGGCAAATGCCAAGCACACGTACTGCCAAGAAGCCCCTGCAGTTCTGAGCAAGGGTTTGCTGAGCTCTGCCAGAGCAGCTCTGGCTAACCCTGTGAGAGCACAGAACAGCTCAGCCAGTGCTGGTAAGAAGCAGAAACACTCTGCAAAGATGAAGGAGGTACAAGCCTCCCCTGGCTTTGTAACAATACCAAGTTTCTCTATTGCCAATAAACTACCGCCTAGAATTAAACAATCCATCTTTGTGAAGATACCAAAAGACATCTTTGTGAAGCGACCAAAAGTACTTTAACAGCACTGAATGCCAAATTTCAGGGGGAATGGAAAAAAAAAACCCAAAACCAAACTAACCTTCTTTCTCTCTCCTCTAGGCATCTCCCAGGAAAGGCATCACCTCCCGGGCCTGGCAGCGTCCTGTCACGGCCAGGCACCAACACCAGCACAGCGGCATGGCACGCCTGTTGGATACTGGGGGAGAGCTTCACCAAATAGGAAACGATACATGTTACTTTTAACTGAAAAAAAAAGGTTCTTCCTTTTGAAACATGCCTTTGAAAAGCCTCAGCATGAACAAGTCATGTTTGAAACCCAAGATCCATCTCACAGTAACCACGTCAAGACAAAGGCACTGTACGTTTTCCATCGCACACGATTTCTAAGTTGACATTAACCAATGCATCGAAATCCCTGTTCCACCATACCAAAACCTTATTTGAGGAAGACCTAGAGCTTGGTACGTACAGTTTCAGCTCTGCTAAGTTCAAGAACACGTGGCACTCTTCTGCAGAGGGACATCCACCTGCCTCTTGAGTTTTACGCATCAATCGAGATCATCAGAAGGGTGTCGGATCTGATAAATCCTGCTGGAAGAATCAAGCAGCAGCCACTGGAGACACTGGTACCCCAGGGATGTCTTCCTTTTCTTCCTGCTCCCATGCTGGCGTCAACAAACGCCAGGACTCTACCCAGCATCAGCTTAAACCACCAGCTAACATTTTCCTGCCAAGCAGTAATCCAAGCTGGTCCGTCAGATGCTTCCAGTGACAGAAATCCAGATTTTTGTCAGTATTTTGAGGTTTGAAAGATCATCACACTAAGCGGTGGTGTAAGCGCTGAATGCAGTTGTCTTCTCCCATTAAGGTCTCAAATACATTTAAAAATCCAGATGGCAGAATGCAACTCTGCTCTATGAGGATTTCTGATTTTGACAATACTTGAGGAAGTGAATCGGGAATCGCTCAGAGAACCTCCCTGCACTGAGCAGCGGGTCTCCCTCTTCCTCTTTCTTCATCACTCATCTTGCAACCCTGAGGTGACACTTAGGTGCATAGAGAAATCCAGTATTCGAGTGCTTCAAGGGCCAGTAATTTTCCTCCTCTTCCTCGCTGCCGGCAGACTTGCTTCCTGATGTATCAAGAGTGAGGTGTCCTTGTATATACCACAAATACACGTATGAAAAGCAGCAAGGGAAAAAGTAACCGTATTAGGGAAATTACCCCTAAGAAGTTGCAGAGGACACTGAAGTTTTTCCCGAGACCCCAGGGTTCAGAGGTGTGCTGCCAGGTGATTAACAGTAGCCCCCCACCCTGAGCTGGAGGATGCGCATCAACACGCCTGGCATTTACCACAAACCACATTTCAAAGAACCAAGACAAGCATCTGAAACCTGAAAACTTGAGGGTGACTCGATGAATTTGCTGCAAACTTGCAGGATGTCTAAACGAAGCACTGGTATTCCTCTGTTTTAACTACAGAGCACTGCGCCAGGTACGATGGAAGCTAAGTTGAAAGCCAAACTAAGAACGTTATTCTTCAACGGGAAGCTGAGACACACCGTAATGCTCCATTCAAGGGGTCAGGCTAGACACTACATCATTTGAGGTAAGAATCCCACTATCTCCAACACTAGCTCGATATAGCACCAGTTTTAGCAACGCTGGAGTCTAATCCTACAGGGTTTTTCAGCAGTTGGTCGTGACAGCAGCCCTAAGCAGTTGAATCAAGCAGGCACTAGCCTGTACTGCGAAACCCAGAGCACACACCATCCTTAGAACAACGTTTTTGTCACTATTAAAGGTAGTTTGATTGTCGGTCCCAAACCAATTTAACATAATTTTGGATAAAATCACTTAAAACTGCTAGGGCACGCAGCTATACCAGTTACTAGAGAAGAACCTCAGATGCTGAGGAAGACGGGAATTCGTGTGGTGCAGGGAGAGATTCACAGGCCTAAGGCCTGTTTTGAAATCCACGTCTGTTGAGTAAAGGCTATTTCTACCCCAGGAGCTATTTCCAGTTAAGAAGGCATAATATCAGCCACTTGATGTTACTGTGTTAACAGCATCAATTCATGCCACATTTAAACACTTTCTTGGCACAATTTATTTTTCTGACCCAAACAAATAAGCCATTAGCAAATCATTAACAATATTCTACCCTAAATTGTCAGTTTAACAGCCCTGTAAAAACATTTTTAGTTTTAAAAACAAAAGTGTGCATGCTGTTGATATTAAAACTGCAGTTACTCTTTCAGGAGTACCAGCTGTTTTGTTGCAAACCATTTTCAACGTACTAATCTGTACAGTGAAGACAAAAACTCAATTGAAGGCAGTAGATGGCTGTGTTAGGTGCCACTCAGGGCTCGGTAACAGTGGACTGTCTGAATTTCTTGTACGCTTCCAGATACAATATTCAAGCCCTTTTGAGAGTTTGGTTCAGGCCGATCAGCACAGAGTAAGAAAGCATTGTACATTCGTCTCTAAGTTGAAGTGAACTGAACTGGTGTAATTTAGGCTCAATTCCAGATGCTCAGTTTCAAGCTACTTCTTGAATAATGCCTCTCAGCTTTTTCTTATGCGTGGTTTTTCATGTTAGCAATCACTGGCACTGCTTTTGGCCTTGCTACTCCACACTGATGAAAGCAAGGAGAACAAGTAAAGGAACAGAATAGGATCTTAAAATGAACAGCTTCTTGCCAAAGCAGCAAGGATACCATTCCCCCTTGTCCCAGGCTCCATGGATATTTCTATCAGATTTTCATATTGTAAGCGCTTCTCGGGAACAGAGAAAACTCTGGAACAGTGAGTATTTATTAGAATATTTTTTGTTAAATAAAGAGGAGGAGAAAAAAAAAAAAAAGAGGGAAAAAAAAAAAGAAAAAAGAGCACTGCAGATTTAATTTCACATCTTGGCTATGCTCCGACAAAGGAGAAGTTACTGAATTCAGCAACTACTTCTTGTCCCAAGCCAGGGATTAATTAATGCCCCTCCCAAAACTTGTACCTGTCTGAACCCACCCCCCAGCCCCAACCCTTCCCATTTTATTTCCCAACTAGACAACACTGTTGGCAAATCAAGACAGCATGAAACTTACATCAATAAAAACAACAACAAAAAAAATAATAATAATGTGAAGCGTGCCAATGCATCAGGGGAACTATCCTATTAAACAGTGTACTTCTCCAGCTAGCAATTCTGCTCGGGAGTCAGCTGTACCTTTCACAGAGGGAGAGTTTAAACATTTTGAACATGCTCCATGGTGCAATTTTAAGTGTTGCAGAACCACAGGACAAGAGATTGAACACCTGAATTTTTCCCCCAGGACTTCTTTTCAGGGACACACATGGTTATCCAACCGAGGGTTCATGCAGTAACACTCAGTAAGTACAATCCAATGCTTTAGCACAAATTACAAGTATTCAGTTCAGCACGGTATAAGGCATGTGGACAAGAAGAGACATCAGCAGAACGCAGCAGGATCAGCAGAACAGCATTGGTGATTGACGCTCCAGTTTCTCAGACTTTGACCCCACTCTGAATCCCCAATTCCTACCACAGACAATGAAATTCAGTTTCTATCATAGCGTTTCTGAGGCTATTTATTTTTGGCCATGTGTTAGAAGACCAACTCCTTTTTTGTTTCATTTTGATGTAAATGCAGAAACATTGGTGGAAGCTGTAGGAGAAGCAACGGAGCAGGAGGGATGTCTGCAGGTGATCAAAACTCTGCCCTCAACTTCAAGTGTCACTGCACTAAGTCAGGAGATACTGAATGGGGAGTAAACTGGCCCAGCCACTAGCACTGTCACAGAATGTATATTTTTTAAAAAACAGAACAAAAGGCAAACAGATTAATTATGAACCCTTCTTTTCAGAAGCAGACCAGGATTAAAAAAATTCCCGCAAAATTAAAATGTTAGATTCTCCATCTAAAAAAAGTTTATACATATGTGCTGAAAGTGACCACCACACAGGTCTGAACAGCACCTTACAGTACAGACTAAGACTTAAAGAGCTGATCTCACATTTGAAGTCTTTTAATTAAAAAAAAAAAAAAAGTGGCTATGGCTGGGATGACACAAACGGGACACTTCAGAACACAAGGCAGAGGCCAAACTGGCAGCCTCGCTCGCCAGGCCATTGGAAGCGGTGTAACGGGAAAGGGGCACTTCATGCACAAAATGTATTTTACAAAATACATATCCAAAAAAGCAAAAAAAAGCCAACAAAAGAAAAAAAATCCCACCTTGCACTAAATTGCAGCACTCTTTAACACTTGCTCTGCCACAGGCTGCTGCCCATGCCTTGTTTGATAGAGGAGGCATGTGAAAAAGGGGAGAGGGGAGGGAAATCCATGTTTCAGTTTTTTTCTCAAAATTTCTCTTATAGGGACGTCTTCAGTCATCTGATGTCAGACACGGAGCTCTCAGAGTATGTCGTGGTCATGACAGGAGTGCCGTTGTTTGCCAAACAACCTTGCCTCAAGGTTTCAAAATACGAGGCCTGCACTGGTTTATGATACTGCAGAACTTTTATGGCATCTTCTATCTTAAACCATTCCCTTTTCCTTCCTGCGGGCAAAAAGGAAAATCAGTAGCTGCAAGAAAATGATGTTATCCTTTCTACGTTTAAACATTACTTTTGATTTGTTCCACTTAATTTTCAATCGTTCTCATGTGCACTAATGCTGCAAGAATAATTTCATTGCGTAACAAAGCATCAGTTCAAAAGATACTGAGGAATTTTCTCTCAGGATTCTCTGATCTCGAGGGCCACCTACTCCAAACACCACACTGATGGCTCCTCTACCCCCATGACAGGTATCTGTTTAGGGCAGTATATTCACCGTCCAAACAAACCAGTTTTGCATTTCCCAATTTAAAAGCAAAACAAAACAAAACCCACACATCTCTTTTGCTATTTCTGCAATTTCTATTCAAGTCAGATACTTATTTTAAGACAACCCACAATAAGACACACCAACCATCACCCAATTTCCATCAATTTGTAAGTGAGCCTCCGTTTCTGGTGGACAGCACTCATCATTTTGCTGTCCTCAGTGCTCATTTTTTTAACTCTTTCCATAAAACCTCTTCTTTACACAGCCTGAGGAAAATCACGTTACAGGTGCTACAGAGCTACTGGCAAACCTTGTGCAGAACACCACCTTCATTTTCATTTGGGAATCCGATTTAAACGCAAAGATTTCAAAAGACAACGGCCAACGACTAATCCCCCATGGCCCATGTACGTTTTCTTCTAGTCTTAGAAAGGACAGCTCTTCATGCTCTTTACTTTGTATCTTAAATGCAAGAATTAAATGCAAAAATTGCTGTCGAGGCAGCTGTACAGCTGAATTGACTACTCTTGGGCCACAGAGGTTACAAAAGCATCAATTTGACCACAATTTTTTTTTGTCAAGCAACCAAAGGGCACATCACTGCAACTTTTCTCGACCACTCTCACAAGGATTCCAGCTCCCAGAGGGGTGCTAAGCTGACGGCTTTTGTCTGCATCTAACCAGTTAATGCTAGCAAGTACAAAGAGCTTACCTATATTGACAGAGTCCTCCCAGTCTTCCAACACTTCTGTGACGATAAGTACGTAAACATATGTCCTGTGTTTCCTGTCCCGATTCTAGAAGGCAAGGGGAACAGGATAACAACAAAGCTAATAAGGGAAAAAAAGCAGGTGGGCGCATGGCAGCTACAAGTTGCAAGCTGCCTGGCTATGATGCTGCAGTACCTTACGTGCAGCTTCTCTCACAATACAGCTTGTTCTTAGCTATTAAAAACTGTTGCATTCTAAATGAGAGGCCTGAAAATATTAATAGGGATTGCGGCCAAAATGTCCAGTTCCTAATCTGTAAGGAAGTATTTGGTGGATGGATACGCTTATAAATCAGTTCCCCAGCTGGTGAAAAAACAAAACCACAGGAAAGATTTTTATCTATTTCACACAGCTCCAAAGTAGTTAGTGAAAAAATAACTGTAAAAAGAGCTGTGTCTGGTACCTGTTGACCCTGAGTCTCAGCAGCACTCATCAGGTGTGACCGGACTCCTCACAGGAGCACACATGCTCCACCAGTTGCAGAGGCCAGTCTGGCACCCGGTGATGGCAGGTGCTAAGGAACAAAGGAGAGCCCTTGCTCCCCAGCTGGTGCGTGGCCTCTTTTTAGTAGCAAGAAAGGTATGAAGGCACTGAAAATAGTCACTGTTACACTGGTTTATCACTCAAGATTTCAACCAAAGTGCAAATTGCAGATAATCAATCACTGGGAAGATCAGTATACATTTTTATTTAAACAGGGAGTTTTAAACTTTTTCTTTCAAACAAGTTATCTAGTTTACTTCACAAACTAGGAAGTGATTTTTATTCCAAGACAATTTTCTGCATCAAAATTTCACAGCCTCAGTGTCTGAAACTTACCTCAAAAATTCCCACTAATCTTCCTAACGTCCCTTTCACTCCAGCCTATGAAAAGTTCAAAGAGAAAAAAAAAAAAAAAGCTTTAACAACAGGTCAGTACACATTTCCTTATTTGTTGTGCAGGTGCAGTTCCTTTAAAACAGGAAGCAAATGCTGTAAAATTCTGTCAATCTGAAAGCAACACAGTCACGAGAAAAATGACAGAAATGTATCACGAGCTCTAAGCACACATCCATTCCCAGGAGTTTTTCCCATATTCAAACAATTCTGAATTAAATGTGGAGGGGAAAAAAAAATAAAATTTGATGATTGAATACCAATATGCTTCAAATGATCAGAATCTCTTCTAAGGGTTATTATAGACTAAGCATGGATAAAATTTACTCTGGGGTTTAGTGGTTTTATCCCTTTAAAATTATTAAGAAAATAACTTTAAAGTACACATAAGACATCCACTTACACCACCAAAGCAACATGACTAGGTACCAGGTATTTCAGGGATGTCCCGCATACATTTGAAGTAAGCTAATACAAACATAAAATATATTTTCAATGTTGTAACGTGGCCTCCGCAACAAGACTGTTTTTGACAGAACACAAAGTGCGGATGCACACTGCAAGAAGACTTTTGAATCAAGCACAGACACAAATCAAGAGAAGATCTAAGCAACAGTTTTGTCTTCTACTTGAATACTACCGAGGATCTACCCGCTTTATCTGATGTGCTGTCACTTTTTATACATCCACTCACTGCTGTGGCTCAGGCATTTTTTCAGAGTGCTGTTTCTCGCCTCTGCTCTCTGGTGTTGCATCATGTATGCATGCAAAATGCCATCCCAATCTTCTGCCCCCAGAACTCTCTTTTTTTCCCAACAATTTACATTCCTTTCTTTTTACGACTGTAAACGGTTGGAATTTAAATGCTACAGACAAGATGAGATTTTGCTTCACAACTTAATTGGTCTGAAACAACACACACAATCTGGCATACAACCCGGCCACGTCTGGAAGGTAAATTCAGCTGCCATCTCTAGCAGCTTGGACACATCCTAAACAGTTCAGGAAAATGGTGACTGCTCTTGCAGAAAAGTTACATAGACCTGATTATGTCCACCTTTTTTGTTTGTTTTTCTTTTTTTTAAAAAAGATGTTCAGGTGAGGGCAACTAAACATTTAATAAGACAAATTCCCTGTCCTGAGCCGCTGAGATACACTGCTTCCCACTTGCTCAGCTACTAACTAGTTGCTGTACAGTTACATGCTTTTAGAAAGTACTTTTATTAATTAAAATATTTTCCTGGTTAAGTTCCCAGCCTACTAAATGAACACACAGAAATACAGAACGATGCAGTCAGAGCACACCTCACTTATTTCTAACGATAGCTGATGGCAGAACTGTCCCCGGAGAGGAGGATTTGTAGCTCCCACTACTACAAGCATTCGTGGAAATCTATAATCCTTTCTGTAACGTGCTCCCTGACCTCTACTTCTAGGAAGAAGCTTTTCAACTGAATCTTTTATGTTGGTTTTGGATGCAAAATTTATTGTCTCATCAGTGTTTCTGACATTTTGCTCAGCTCATAGGTGGACCACTGACTATTAACCACAAGGCTATTTCTGGAGTCAAACAGCAATTCCATGAAGGTCAACGTACGCGTGTGTGCGCACACCAGCATGGCTAGGGGCAGATAACTGGGTCTGACCTTTGCGGATGAGTGATTTTACCTCATCTGCAAAACTGTTGCTGCTAACCTTGACTAATCTCTCTCACAAGAGAACTGGAAGGCAAATACTTCAAATGAATTTCATTCAAAGAACTCCTTCAGTAGCCTCAAATGGTGGGTTGTTGGTTGGTTTTGTTTTGTTTTGGTTTTTTTTAGATAAGCAACCATATCAATCAGCCAGCAATAACACAGAAAGGAACACAAGGCTTCCGCCTTCACAACATACATACATAAGTATATTAAAAGGTGAAGTGTAATCAAATGTTTCAGGTAAATAACTGTCTTAAACTGATTTTCTTTACTTGTTCCTGGAGAAGGCTATTGAATTTCTGCTCTCCTTACTTACCTGAAGAGGCACTGAATCAAAAGCCAGGGATGTTGTTGTGATGGTTTAGTGAACTCTCAAGCCTGACTAGAAACAAATTTATCTCCAGGCAACTAGCCAGCCTGGAAACTAAACATGAATACTGCACAGCCAGCCTCCCAAGCAGTTTATCCCCAGCTCCAAAACTGCACTTGAAATAATACAGGCAGGTGAGGAGCCCTTCCTTCTGTTCTGGTTAAACAGAGAGGCGATGGAAAAAACATTCTGCCTGCAAACTAAGATCATCCTTCTCCATTCTGCCTAGGCTTATTCACCTAAAAAGGCACAAAAAGCGATGCCAAGACAAACACGCACTGTAGGAAAACCATGTTGAATTATCATCTGACAACTCAAAAAAGTGGTAAGGTTTTCTTCATGTATGAATTTACCACATGCAGTAGTAAACGGTGACATAAATTAATGGTTTGATTCAAACAGATATTGGGCTGTTTTTAATAAAGTGAGTCCTTACCAACAACTGCAGAGCACATCAGCCATGACATCCTGGGGACCAATGGCTCTCTCATCCTATTTTACTGGTATAATGGACTTTAAAGACAACATACAGGACATCTAACACAGACTGATTGGATTGTCACACACCTATTTTTGATAAAGCACTTAATTCACACACAAATAGGAAAGTCATAGTCTCTGTACAATCATGTATTTCATTTAATGGAACAAACATGAAAGTGGAATTCACATTTGTACACAAGTTTCTAACATATAAGTTGCCCAAGGCATTGGAGCAAATAACCTATAGCTGTTATCACTAATAAAGCAAGCTAGGTAACAAGCAACAAAACTGCCAGGCTCCTCTTTGGGCAAGTTCCATGCCTCTTGCTTTCCTATGGGCCAACCCCTCAGCACCTTCCCGAGATCCTCACTGCAGGACAATGAGCATTTTCTTGGAAAGTTAAAAGTGTAAATCACGGGCTCATCCAGGATTGAAGCTGGATCTAAATCTTAATTTGCACCAGATGACTCAGGAATTTTCTCCTTGGTAGTAAATGGATTGAGAATCCTCCACCCTCATAGACCACAACAGTAAGTGTCTGGCAGAGACGGCACCATTTATTTGGGCCCAAGTCCCCCCACCAAGCATTAGGAGTGCTGCCCACAGAGCCCACACTGCAATCCTCAAAATACACACACATCCTAGGAGGACACTATTAAACCCATCAACAAGGGGCAGGAGAGCACCAGCAACAACTGTTCCATCTGCAGGTGTGAAAATAAATCAAATCAGTCAAACAACAGTATTCCCCAGAAACAGGCACACTCGGGTATAAAAAAAGGACAGAGCAAGCTTGCAAAGCGAGCTGCTTATTCACTGCCCTGCAGACCCAAATCAACTTCCAACGTCCAGGGCAGCCCTCACGGGAGGAAAAGATAGATCTAGCAAGAGTGCATTGATATCACAGCAAGAGCCAGCTGCCCCAAAACAACACATGACTTGAAACCACTGCCGCACGCCCAGAGGGGTGGGCTGAGCGTTCAGGACAAGGAACAAAAATCTGGAGGAAATGAAGCTTTACTAGTTCTGCTGCTCATGGAACAACTTGTTTTAATAAAGAAAAATTACCAAAGACATCCAAGAACAGCAGGTTCAGGTTTCAAAGCTGAAAATAAGTTCGGGTCAGATGCAAAAAGCAGCCTGCAGCAACACCATCTGTTCCTAGGGACAGCTTTTATTTCCTTCCATCTGAGCTAAGGAAAATGTGGGTTGGAATTTCAGCTATTTTACTTTGCTCTATTCGGCTCAAAGCCTGCATCTACTACAGATTACTGCTGGGCAAGAGGACTGTGGTAAAACACCCAAATCTTTGCTCTAATACTTGCAGTGAAGGTAGTAAATCACACCCATAAAGACTGCTAGCTTAGACAAGTTCTAAAGACACCAATTACAGACCTGCTAGGCAAATTTTCTTGCTGTCTCTCCTGTGTCTCAGAGAGGGTTGTATTTATTCATCTAATTCTTTACAGCATTACCACCAATATATGCTTTTACATTTGTGAAAAAGAAATTAAATACCATGACAGAGCAAAGACCCTTACGATGTTGCACTCATTTTTATGAAGTTTAGAGTACACAGAGTAAGAGACAGTAGTGAACTTGGTTCACTATTTGCATTGAATATTACTAAATCTAGGAAGAGTTCAATGCCATCATCTCAGTCATTCATCCATGGTCCTTGCAATATTTTTTTTTTTATAAAAGCCTTCCTATTTTAGCACAGAAAGATATCAATATTCATATTCTAAACCACTAACAAAATACATGAAACAGAAAAATTATTTATAAAGCATGTTTAAGAGGGGAAATGAAAAAAAAAAAAAAAAAAAAAAAAGAAGAGGTCTAGCAACCAGATCAAAGTACTATCAAGATGGACTATTTTTGATATTGGCATCAATTGCCTGTTTGATCACAGATCAAGCACAACTTATGTGGCTTTTGATTCCCATGAAGAAAGCACGACTAACACGCCCATAATTTTATAGAACTTGACATTTACTAAGTATTTAAAGGTCAGGATGTGAAAGATGCTGTAAGTGCAAAATGAAATGCCTTTGGGTTTAACAGATGAGTGTGGAGGCTTTTTTCAAAGTCACTCTATAATAAGTTTAATTTAAGGCATCTATTTCTAAAACATGTTCTTCACCAGTTGCTCACACCCATAAAAAAACTCTTATTCCTAACATAAAATTAATTTTGGTAAGAGAATGCAACAGAAAAAAAATCCAAGAATAAGAAGCAAAAAATACACTACACTGGCACTAATGACTGTTTTAAAAGGGCATATCATTTTTCTAGGTGAAACTTAGACTGCACCTAGAGTTTACAGCTGTGTCAGACCAACTACATCATTTTTCAATAATCTGTCAGAAATAAGTGGTTTTATTCTGAAAAGGCTGCTCTCATTCAGAGCTAGCGTGCTTGTCTACTGCCACTTTGCCTAAAAACACTGCCCAAGAACTCAAGTCACTTCAAATTTTATGCAGACAACAGCAAGCATGACAAGTGTTGGTACCTGTCTACTTCAATACTTCTGCTGGTACAGATTAATACAGATAAGGACTAGCTCAAACTAGGACAAGGACTTCTAACTCAAACTGGTACACAGGGATCACAGGTTTCACTCAGAAACAACATTTCACTTTTGGAACAGTCTTCTCAAATTTTGAAAATCAGAAAGAGGGAAAAGTCAGGTTTCTTTTTATGACAATTATTCCAGCAATCACATGGATAAACTCAAAGAAGTACATGGTGAAATTAAAACAGCAGATGCAGAAGTTAAAAAACTTAGCTTAGGGAAGCATATTTTAAAAAGCAAATGCATACCATGCAAAAAAGAATGAATTGAGAAAAACCAGCCTATTGTCATCTTCAAAGACCAAAAGCAATTGAAAGGGTATTGAGTCCTTCCAGCTCTTCCAACTGTCTCCTATTAAAACAGAAAAGCCGTACCAAAGTCGGTGAAAGCAAGTCCACAAATTTCTTCCATAACTTTGACCAGCATGCAAACCACCTTCTTTTAGGATAAAAATTACTTTGTGTTCATAGACACAGAGGAAACGGGATTTTCCCTCTCCCAACACAAGCAGCAGACTCTCCCTGGCTCAGCTAAGCTTTTGTATCCTTGTGAGACACAGACAGGCCTGTCCCAGGAGAGGGGCAAAGACACCAAACCTACTCAGAAATCGGTGTCTGCTACAACCTACCTGAAAAAGCCTCAGTTCACATGAAAGGATGAACAAGGATTACCAGCTGGCATGCGCACCAGCTGCCCAGCAAGCAGCCTCCTAAAATACCTCCCCTGCCAAATCAACAGCACAAGCTGGGAAACTGGGGGCACAGAAGTCCTTTACAGCTGTAATATAACAAACATTCCCCTCCTGCACATTCCCCAGCAACATTTTACAGTAAACAGCTCGCTGAGCTTAAGACAGTTGATGTACATTATAATTTTGTGTGCGCACCGTGAGCGGCGCGCTGGAACACAAGCCTCTTTGAGGAAAGCCTTGCACACCTAGAAGCTCGCCTGTGTTTTCCACCCATGTCAGCAAGCCTCATCACAAGCTGGAGGAGAGCTCAAGTAATTTTATACACATGACAGGCTGCTCTTCTGCAGGAGGCTTTCAGGAAGGCCTTTATCCTAACAGCAGCTGATAGTTCCATTTCAGATTCCCACCCTGGGTTTTCGCATCACAAGCTACTAGGTGCCGTGGAGGTCAGCCGTTGGGGTAACCCTGCTGCTTTTGGAGCTCTGGATGTTTACTGGTTGTCAAGTGGCATTCAAGCAGATAGGTGCTTCGCTGGGAATGACTCAACCCTGCCAGGCTGCCACAGTTTGAATTACATTCTCATTCGGCACCGGTCCACGTGAGCGAGGGAGCACCAGCTGAGCGAGAAGGGATTATCTCAACCAGCCCAAACCAGTTTCTTCACTGCAGACTGAGCCCATGCCAAGGCTCCCTTTCAGCCACCGAGCTGTCATGGAAAGAGAGCGACTCTTCCAAGGCACTGTGCTGCCCGAGGAAGGGAGGGTCGATACACATTTATTTTAAGGATTTGAAAGATGAAGCCGTGCATCTCCTGAATGAACCCTTGACTTCTGTATCAAATAACTCAATTATTAATAACAATTGGGTTGTAAAGCAGGAGTCTGCAGCTAAAAATATGTCTATTGTTCTGGTTAAGCTCACTTTGGCTTGTAATGTGTTTGAAAGATCACTGAGTTACTAAAAAAGCAGGAGCTGTATTACAAGCTGGAAATAAAATTTGCAAGCAGCAATCCCTGGTACTAGAGGGATCTAAGGACACTCAAAATAAACTTTGACTGTGTAATCTTTCATATCTTCCTGATAAACTGCTAGATTACAAAAACATCCGAAGAGAAACACACAACTCAGGAACTGCCACATTAAATTAGTCTAAAGGCCCAAATATTCAGCATTTTGTTAGACAGCAGCATGTACTTCCAAATACTTCAGAGAAGAACCTTCATATACCAGACAATTAAATAAAACAACTACCGAAGCAGCTTCCTCCCAAGTCCCTTCAATTAGCTCTTGATTTCTGTTCTTCTGCAGCACAAAGATTTATAACCCTCTTGAAAGCATTTTTAATCCTGCCTTATATAACTGTACCTACTTGGTCATCCATATATAATCATTTAATCGTTTCTGAATCCAAGAATCTCTCTAATTTGATAATATTCAGAAGCAAATTCTAAAGACATGTTTTACATACAATATTGTCTTTAAATTCCTTAGGAAAAATTTCTTCCAGTTTTAAGAGAAAAATACGCCTTCTCCATACAGACCAAACTGTGGGGACCTTTCTGAAATAGCTTCAAGTAAAAAAACCAAAAACCACAAAAACATGAACATATTAGGAATTGTTCCTTATAACTCTTAGGATCAATTTCTCTTATTCACACAAAACTCAAAATATGTACTACACCAAAACAAATTGAGGTCTCTATATTTCAAGTGTCTTTAGTGGCTTGTAAAGTCTTATTTCTACCTTCTGCCTAAGTATGAGATAGCTCCACAAAAGCACAGCTGTTTTTTGAAGTTCTCTTAAACTGTTCTTCACATGGAGAATACAAAACTGAGAATATCACCATATGTATTGAAATACATTAGGTTAATTTTATCTATTTTCAGTTAAAGGTACCAGGTGAGGAAAAGTTCACTCTGAAAGCCTTAATTGCATTCCTAAGCTATCTTTATTTAGGACTCGAGTTTCCCTTCCACATATGATAGGGATATCACCAGTGACCCTTATATTCCTCTTCACCCTAAGGAAAAGCGAGAGAGATGGAAACAAATTCACAGAGCCTGGGCTAGCAATTAGCAGCGAAGCTCCAGGAACTCCCATTCTTGACAAAGACTCACCTCTTCACAGACTTCTCGCACAGCTGCCATGTTGGGCTCCTCCTCGGGCTCCATGCCACCCCCAGGGACAATCCATCGGTCAGGATGACGACTACTGCTAACCAGCAGCACCTGCGGAGAGCAGAGCACAGCCGACGTGTCAGTGCAAAGCAACGCTCCTTTTCGGAGCACAGCTGAAGAGAAGTTGTCCTTGCATCTCTCACACCTCCAAACATGACCAGTCCAACACGAGTCCTTGAAAATACTCCACTTTTCCCAAGACAATTTCCTTAGCCCCTTTCAGACAGCTCTGCAAACTACATTATCAGTGACACCAAGGCACTCCCAACACTCTAAATTATTAATTCTCACAGCTTTGGCGCATCATTGAATAAATAAGGGCTCTGCATACCCAAACAACAATTCACTATTTAACACAGCATCACAATACTTACAGTGTAAGAGTTCACTGCTGTACGTAGTCTTGACAGCTTGGAATACCCATCAGGAAACAAAACAAGATGGCACAGAAGCTGCTCAGCACCTTCACCCTTTGCAGAAGTACCCTGATTTAATTTTATTAGTACCTTTGTCCTTGTCTGCCTCTGCGGTTACACTAATGACATACCAAGGCAGGTAACTGCCTACTAAAATATTTATGTGCAGTTCTTTTAACAGAGATTTTCAACTTCCCTGTTTGCCTATTCTTTTGCAGCAGGCACCAAGGAGTTCAGCTCTGGAACCAGCACTTGGTTACTTCTGGTTTAGATGAGGTTGTTCAAGGAGATATAAGCAAAATACAAGCCTACATAAGACTACTAGGAAAAGGCTGCATAGAAGGACAGACTTTTTTAAATCAGGAAAATGCTTCAACCATTTTCACAGCAATAATTTTTCATAAGCATGCTCTGTGGCAGTTTTTCTTGAAACACATTTTATTCCAGCGTAATTCTGCTCTGTACAAGCTTCAGTTTTTGTTCTGTCGTCTTCCAGAAACAAAAAAGCTAACTAAATCTCAACTGGCTAAAAATTCTCCCAAAGAATATCGAGACACTGTGCTTATTAAATCTGCTTGCAATACATCCGTGAGCAGAGATGGAAACTAAAAACAAAACTAATACTGTTTTTCAGCTCTCTAAACAAAGCTTGTTCATTAGAGTCATCATGCTATACTTCATCATTTCACTGGCACAAAGCTTAGAGCCAAAGCGACTTGCTCCAGAAACTTTCCAACATACCAGTCCAATTAGGTTACAGGCCAGCTCTAACAGTTTCAATCAGACATTTCAAAGTTAAAACTCTGCAAGACACTAAAATCCCAGGCTTTACTGTGTAAATGTTGATTTACCAGTAGGATATGAAAAGATTTGCACTAATTATCCAGAGGAAACCTACCTACAGAATTCAAAATTAAACTTCTGAAACAAAAACAAGCGTAAGATTTCCAGGGTTTCCAAATTCTTTTATCTTTTGAAAATTCTCATCTGCCAACTGACTGCCCTGCAAAATGATTTTTCATTTTCCAGGGCCACCCATACCACACCAGCTCAGCACAGGGAAAAGAGGGGAGCCAAGAAACTAGAACACAACGGGGTGAGGAGACAAGGGTCAGTTGAGGGGGTCCAAACCACAGCTCTCAAACCAGGGGTAGCAAAGCTTCAGGCAGAAACTGAAGAGGGGTCACAACAGATGTTCTGGCAACTGCTGGTCTAACCTTTCCTAAATCTGGAACTAAACTCAGTGTTCTCAAATGTCAGCACTCCTCTAATCAGCAATTTTGTGTGGATCCCACCAATAATAGTGTCCCAAAGCCTCCTGTACCTGCTTCAGTTGGAACCCACACCTCAAGCCTGCAATGCATGAAGAAGTATCATTTATCAAACAACCACATTTAAATCCCTGAACGCTCCCCAGTCTGTCTACTGAATTAAGGCAAATACATACTAGAAACTAATTAAGCTGAACGAGCTACCTTAATTCTGCAGGTTCCTGATGGAGGTGCTTACTACCTGACCCACCTTCTGGCTTTAGTTGCAATGGAACAACATTTGCTTCATAGTAACATCCCATGGCGTTTGGCCTTCTTCAAGAAGAAGACAGAATTCCTTTCCCCTAAACATCCAATCCATATAAAACGCGATCGGTAAGGCATGCCTAAATAGGGAATGTAAACTTCATTCATCCTCAGAGCCTTAGAGGCTTGGGACAGCAGCCAGGTACCGTGGCTGGGGCTGCAAGGCCGTCACCAGCAGCCACCTCTGGTTTGCCAATATTTGGCCACTGCAAGCTCAGCACACACAGCACTCCGCCGGCCTGTGCCATCTCACCACAGTAGCTTTTCCTATTATGTTACAGGACTTTTACTTTGTCCTGACTCATTACCAGTATCGTACACAGGAGAGCGTGGACTGAAATTCCTATCTTCAGGTCAGCAGGTGATTCTGAGGACAAAGTTAAAAGAAAAGGAACAGGCATTTCAAGTATACACTTTCTTGCCAGGTAAGGAAGCATCACCTTTGTCGTTTCCGATTTCAATTCAGAGTGCCAGATCAAAGAAAGAAAGGGGGGGAAAAAAAAAAAAAAAGAAGTGATTAAAAAAAGCCGCAGAAACAGATCTTTGAAACAGCACAGCACACTTCATGCCATTGAACTCCTGCCACCTTCCACTTGTGAGAAAAAGTATCTGCTAAGAAAATCCCTGTACAAAGAGTTGTACAGGAAAGCCTGCTGGACTGCTTAGACTTAAGACAATGCTTTAGCAACACACCAGTAGGAACTTTTAGGTGTAAACAACAGTTTTAGGCAAAGTAAATTAACTTCAGCTGCTCTGGCAGTTGAGCATTTTCTGAATAGAATTAACATGAACAACCCTCACTGGGAAGGAAAAACCTGTCATTCTCACACTTTTATGTAATCAGACTATTTCCTGTTTAATAAAAAGGAAATCCCATCAAGAGCAAGCAGGAAACATGCCCTACAAGGTCATTCTTTTAAAACAACTTTAAACAGGATATTGCTACCAATGAGCTCTCCCAAGACAAAGGGGCCTAGTTCAAAATGAGGGTGAGACACTGTTGTGTTTTAAAAACCCACACATCTAAAAAAGTCCTGTGTCCCAAGACATGCAGCGCATTCAAACGGAACAAGTAAAGAGGTCGTTATAATCCAAATCACAGGATGGTTTGGGTTGGAAGGGACCTTTAAAGGTCATCTAGTCCAACACCCCTTCAACGAGCAGGGACATCTTCCATTAGACCAGGTTGCTCAGAGCCTTGTCCAACCTGACCATGAAGGTTTCCAGCTATGGGGCACCTAACCACCTCTGTGGGCAACCTGCTCCAGCGTTCCACCACCCTCATCGTAAAACGTTTCTTCCTTATATGTAGTCTGAATCTACCCTCTTTTAGTTTAAAACCATTACCCCTTGTCTTATCACAGGCCCTGCTAAAAAGTTTTCTCCATCTTTCTTATAAGCCCCCTTTTAAGTACTGAAAGGCTGCTGTAAGGTCTCCTCAGAGCCTTTTCTTCTCCAGGCTGAACAACTGTCTCAGCCTGTCTTCACAGGAGAGGTGTTCCAGTCCTCTGATCATTTTTGTGGCCTCCTCTGGACACACTCCAGCAGGTCCATGTCTTTCCTGTGCTCAGGACCCCAGAGCTGGACACAGCACTGCAGGTGGGGTCTCACTAGAGCAGAGCAGAGGGGCAAGATCACCTCCCTTGACCTGCTGGTCACCCCTCTTTTGATGTAGCCCATGAAACATTTGGCTTTCTGGGCTGTGAGCATACCTTGTCAGCCAACAAGCCAACAACCAAGTCCTTCTCCTCAGGACTGCTCTCAACCCCTTCATCCCTCAGCTTGTACTGATACCAGGGGTTGCCCTGACCCATGTGGAGGACCTTGAACTTGGTCTTGTTGAACTTCATGAGGTTCACACAGGCCCACTTCTCGAGCTTGTCCAGGTCCTTCTGGATGGCATCCTGTCCCTCCGGTGTGTCAACAGCACCACTCAGCTTGGTGTCATCTGCAAACTTGCTGAGGGTGCACTTGATCTCACTACATCATTCATGAAGATATTAACCAGTACTGGTCCCAGTATGGACCCCTGAGGGGCACCACTTGTCACCGATCTCCACCTGGACATTGAGCCATTGACCAATACCCTCTGGAGGTGACCATCCAACCAATTCTTCATCCACCAAACAGTCCACCCATCAAATCCATCTCTCTCCAATTTAAAGAGAAGGATGTTACGGGGGACCATGTCAAAGGCCTTACAGAAGTCCAGCTAGACGACATCTGTAGCTCTTCCCTTGTCCACTGATGAAGTCATTCAATCATAGAAGGCCACTAGGTTGGTCAGGCAGGACTTGCCCTGGGTGCAGCCACGCTGGCTGTCTCGAATCCCCTCCCTGACCTCCATGTGCCTTAGCACAGCTTCTAAGAGGATCTGTTCCATGATCTTCCCAGGCACAGGGGTGAGGCTGACAGGGTGGTACTTCCCAGGGTCCTCCTTTCTACCCTTTTTAAAAATGGGCACAATGTTTCCCTTTTTCCAGTCACCAGGGTTTTTCCTTGAGTACCATGACTTCTCAAATATCACGGGGAGTGGCTTGGCAGCTACATCAGTCAACTCCCTCAGGACTCTGGGATGCATCTTGGCAGGTCCCATAGACTTACGCATGCTTAAGTTCCTCAGGTGGTCACGAACCTGATCTCAAGGCATACTGTCACAAGGTAACATCATGCAAATATTTACAAACTGGCCCAAAGCCAGTAAAATGAGATCTGCTGAAAAACAACCTCTTTCTGAAAACAATTAATATTTGGGCGGAACAGCCCAAATGCTGTTTCCGAGATAAGAAATGCATACCCTTGCAGAAACCTTTTCCCCCTGATAGTCGGATGGGTGAACATAAAATACCTGGGGAAGCAAAGATACCAGCTGAGCAGGTTGCAGAAGGGAGATGTAATAGTTTGTATTTCTACCACAACAAGGTCAGAATAATTTTGTAAATCTCAGAATAAGCATGTGATATAGCATAAGGCTAACTTACACCAAAAAAACAAGACAGAGAACAGCAACTATGCATTCATTTTACAACATAACATGATAAAAAATGTTATTCCATTA